TTCCATTTGTTTGATCTACTGAAAAACACTAGTAGCTCTGTTTTATTCACAGAAACAATTTTTACTGTGTCTTAACCATAAACATATGCAAATATCTGTAGAAGCTATGATACTTTTATTGTGATGCTTTGGGGAATTTCTGGGTTAGCATTTTTCTTCTTTCCTGAAATTGTTGCTTTATTTATTGTCATAGCCTCTGGAGTAAGCAATGTAATATATAATGGTGTGCATCTGTGATCAGGGAGAGCAGATCGTTTAACTCCTGTCTGATGCTAATATTCAAAGAGAACACTTAAAAGAAAATTTGTTTAGAATCAATTCATCTGCGGGGATGAGTTTAGTGGAATGGAATTTTTCCAGAGGCTAAACATACATTTTGGATATTGAACATTAACACTTGTTAAAGCTGGTAGAGAGCACAGGAAATAAAGCGTGCAGTTGAAGAAGAGTTCATTTGATTTGGAAGGCAAATTATCTACTGTTCAAAACTACAAGATCTTTGTCTCCATAAAGGAGACCCTCAAGAGTAGTGAAGAAACTGTGTGTAAAATATATTTGTTAGTAAAGAGCAATTAGACTTGGAAGCCTTACAGAGTCTGTGCAAGGGCTGTTCAATTGGTGTGTATCGTGAAATGTTCAGCTGTAGGGTCACAGTCCTGCCAGTCTGGACTTCAGGAGGGGTGGTACTCAGGCCACTGGCTAGGTTTAAAAGTGGGCATGTTGACATGAGACAGCTAGAACGATGAGGTCCCACTTCTTTTTCCTTGTTCAGTCCTTTGGTATGCCAGGGAAGTTAGTGGCTGAAGCATCGGTTGAGGCCTAAAGACCTTGAGAAACGTAAGGCTCAGGTAGTGTGTTGGCATTTGGACTTGCATAGGGGGAATGCTGTAGCAGGCTGTGGCTTAGGAAGGTAAGCAGGGAGAGACAAAGCTGAGCTGGAAACTAGCAAGGGAGATGAAGGGGAGCAAGGAAGGTTTCCGTAAGTACATCTGCAGCAAAAGAAAGGCTTAAGGAGATTATGGGCCCACTCTTATTGTGGCAGGGGACCTAGTGACAAGGGATATGCAAAAGGCTGAGGTATTCAGGTAGACATATTTATTAGTTTGTACTGGTGTGTTTTGCCTTCAGGCTTCCAAGGTCCCTAATAGCCTCCTAGCAGAGTCTGTGGGAGTGACGCAGTATCCACCACTGAGAAAAATAGTTAGGGATCACTTAAATTAACTATACGCACACAGGTTAATGGACCAGATAGGATGCCTCTGAGGGTGCCAAAGGAGATGGAAATGGAATTGTGAGGCCTTTCTCCATCATCACTGAAAGGTCTTGGCTTTTGGTGGTGGTACCCGATGATTGGAGAAAGGCAAGCATCACACCTGTCTTCAGGAAGGGCGGGAAGGAGAATTGAGGTGACATCAGGACGCTCATCCTTGCCTTGGTCCCCAGAAAGGTCATGGAGCAAATCTTTTTAGAAGCCGTTTTTCAACACTTGCAGGACACAAGGGTGACTGGGAGCAGTCAACCAAGTTGAAGTGGACAGATCTGTGGTTCATAAATTGGTTGCACAGCTGGTGTCAGCAAAAGGGTTTTGGGTTTTGTGTCCATGGGATCCTCTCTGAGGATTGAGGACTGCTTGGAAGAAATGGGATCCACCTGACCATGTGGGACAAAAGCATGTTTGCTAACAGGCAAGCCAGCCGGGTGAGAACTTTGAGATGGGAACAACACAGGAGGGAAATGACAACCCACAGTCAAGTGAGGAGGCCAGTGGACTGGGTTAGCCAGCAAAAGGTACAGAGTGATGTGAACAGAAGGGATCTTGTAATGAACAAAACAGGACTGAAAAGGACCTAATTGAAGTGTATGCACATAGATAGGGAAGTGCATATGGGACAGCATTATGTGGAACACTCCCATACGTTTTCTGGGAAATCAGCGTGACTGCATGCCTCTTGGAAGTGTCTGTACACAAGCACGTGCTACATAGGGAACAAATAAGAGGCATTAAAGGTCATATGCCATTACAGGGCTGTGATCTCATTGGGGTCATGAAGATGTGGTAGGTTAGCTCACATGATAGGGGTGCTGCAACAGGCAAGCAGGAAGGACAGGCAAGGAGGGGAATTGCTCTTATGTGAAAAAACAGCAGGGCTGCACAGAGCTTTGTCTCGGGACATAAGGAGGTTGAGAGTTTATGGGTCAGAATGAGAGGGCAGATCAGCACAGCCTCCTTTGGTGGTTATGTTTTCTACAGGCCACCTGATCATGAATAAGTACATGAGGCCTTCTTCGGACACTTGGAAGAAGCCTCATGATTTCAGGCCCTGGCCCTCATAGAGGGCTTTAACCATGCTGATACGTGCTGGGAAGTCAACACAGTAGATCAGTAGCAGTGTAGGTTTCTGGAGAGCGTTGGTAGCAACTTTCTAACACAGATCAAGGAGGTGATGAGGGGAGATGTTGTGTCTGGCTATCATACTTACAAACAAGGAAGAAGAACTGATTGGCTATGTGAAGATCAGGGGCAGCCTTGATTGCAATGACCATGAGATGGTGAAGTTCAGGGTCCCGAGAGGAGGGAACAAGGCAAATTGCAGGATTGCAACCCTGGACTTCAGGAGAGTGGACTTTGGCCTGTTCAGGGATCTGCTTGGAAGACTCCTATGGGATTGGGAGAGTGTACCACAGATCTGGTTGGTTTTCCAGGGTTGTGTCCTTCAAGCTCAAGAATGGCTCATCCAGAATGCAGGAAGTCAAGCAAAGGTGTCAGGAGGCCTGTATGGATGAACAAGGAGTTCCTGACTAACCCCAATCATAAAAATAAAGCACACAAAAGGTGGAAGCAGACCTCTCTGGGAGGAATACAGAGACACTGAGCATGCAGAGATGCATTAAGAAAGCCAAAGCCTACATGGAGTTGAATTTGACAAAGGACATGAAGGGCATCAAGAAGGGCTTCTACAGGAATATCAGCAAAAGGAAGACTAAGGAAAATGTGGGCATGCTGCTGCATGAGAATGGGGACCTGGAGACAGAAGACGTGGAACAGGCCAAGTATCTAGTGCTTGCATTGCCTTGGTTCTTCACTAGTAAGACTTGTTTTGATCAGTCACAGACCCCTGAGATCGGTGCAGAAGTCTGGAGCAATGAAGGTTTAAACTCAGTGAAGGAGGATCAGGGTAGGGAACATGTAAACTAACTGGACATGCACAAGTTAATGGGACTTGATGGTATACAGCCACAAGTTTTGAAGGAGTTGTCTCACGTTGTTGTGAGGCCACTCTGGATTATCTCCGAGAAGTCATTACAATCAAGGAAGGTTCCTGAAGACTGGAAGAAAGCAGATGTCATTCCTATCTTCAAGAAAAGCAAGAAGGGAGATTGGAAGACTAAAGGCCAGTCAGCATCATCTGGATCTTAGTGAGGTTGATGAAACAACTCCTTTTATGAATAATTTTCAGACACACAAAGAGCAATAGTGACTAGGGTTAGTCAGCACAGATTTATGAAGTGGAAATCTTGTTTGACTAACCTGATAACCTTCTATGATGAGGTAGATGACTGTCTTGGAGGGTGAGGGGAGACAAGTGGATGTTGTTTATTTGACCTTAGTATAACTTTTTACACTGTCTTCCATAGCCTCCTCAGACAAACTGGTGAGGTGAACAGTGAAGTGGATTTAAACCTCTCTGAACTCCGGGGCTCACAGGAGTGTGATGAGTGGCACAAAGTCCAGCTGGAGGCCAGTCATTAGTGGTGTATACAAGGGATGAATATGGGGGCAATACTGTTCAATGTCTTCATTCCTAACCTGGACGGCAGGACAGAGCGTCTCTCAACAAGCCTGTGGATGATGTAAAACTTGGATGAGTAGTTAATACACCATTTAGTTCTGCTGCCATTCTGAGGGGAGAAGAGTGCCAACAGGAACCTCATGAAGTTCTGCAAGGGCAGATGCCAAGTCCTGCCACTGGAGCGGAGTAACCCCATGCACCTGTACAAGCTTGGGGCTGACTAGCTGAAAGTATGCTTTGTAGAAAAGGCTGTGGGGATCTTAGTGGAGACCAAGCTGAACGTGAGCCAACAATGCAATATTGTGGCTAAAAAGGCAAACAGCATCCAAGGCTGCATTGGGAAGAGCCTCACAAGGTGGCCTGGTGGGGCTATCCGTCCTCTCGGCCTTGGTGAGACCACATCTGGAGTGCTGTCCCTTGTGCAGGGCTCTTGAGTACAAGATAGACCTTGACATACTGCAGAGAGTCCAGTGGAGGGCCACCGGTATGGTCAGGGGCTGGAACATTTGACATACGAGGAGAGGCTGAGAGAGCTGGGGTTGTTTAACCTGGAGAAGACTCGGTGTATCTTAGCAGTGTATGTAGATAACCTGATGGGAGGGAGCAAAGAAGAGGGAGACAGGCCTAGTGAAATTCTAAGAGGCAACAGGCATGAATTGAAATACAAGCAATTCCATTTAAAGAAAAGGTTTTGGGTTTTTTTTTTTTTTTACTGTAAGACTGATCGCATAGAGGAACAAGTTCCCTAGGAAAGTTGTGTAGTCTCCATCCTTGGAAATATTCAGAACTAGACTGGATACAGTCAGTTAACATCCTACTGTAGTTGACTTTGTTTTGAGTAGGGATGTTGGACTAGATGATCTCCAGAGGTCCATTCCTACTTCAACCATTTTATGATTCTGTGAAAGCGTGCCTGATCAACTGGTTGCTTTCTTCCATGAAGCAAGTGGCACCGCAGACAAGAGGGAGTCTGTGGATTTTGCACACCTTGACTTTAGCAGGGCCTTTAACCCAGTCTCGCATTGTGTCCTTGAAGCCAATTTGGTGAGGCACGTACTGAATAACTGGACAAGAAGATGGGTGGAAGATTGACTATACCCTCAATTGGGTTATGGTCATTGGTGCAAAGTCCACCTGGCAGGCATTAATTAGGGGAGGGCCCATCAGGGGTGAGTACTGGGACTAGTACTATTTAATGACTGCATTAGTGACCAGAATGATGAGATGGAGTGCACTGTAAGGAAGTTTGTGGGTGATCCAAAATTGGTGAGAATGGTCAATATGTTGGAAGGCAGGGCTGCTATTCAGAGAGAACTTGACAAACCCAAGAAATGGGCTGACAGAAACCTCATTAGTTGGAAAGTCCTGCTTCTGGGATGGAATAACCCTAGGCTGCAACAGTGCAGGCTCAGGGGGGCAAGTGCTTGCGAAGTAACTCTGCAGAGAAGGACCTGTGGATCTTTGTGGACAACAGGAGTCAACAGCATGCTCTTGCAGCCAAGAAGGCCAACCAACTACTGGACTGTATTAGTGAGAGTGTGGCCAGTAGGTCAAGGCAAGTGACCCTACCCCTCTAGTGGATACAATGCTCTAGATGTGGTCTCAAGTGCCCAGTTCTGGGATCCTCAGTATGAGAAAGATATGAACACACTAGAGCAGGTCCACCAAGACAGTCAGAGGGTTGAAGCATGTGACATACAAGGAGAGACTGAGAGAACTGTATCTGCCCAGCCTTGAGAAGAGAAAGCAAAGAGGAGACACCTTATAGCTGTCTAAGTACCTGATCAGAAGCTATAGAGAATCTGGAGCCAGGCTCTGCTTGGAGGTGGACTGAGGTAGTGGATGTGAGGTGGAACATGGGAAATTCTGCCTAGATGTAAGGATTTTGTTTATTTTTTTAAACCATGGGGGTGGACAAACACTGGCACATGTTGCCCAAGGAGGTTGTGGAATCTCCATCCTTGGAGGTGTTCAGAACTTGATTTGACATGGCCTTGAGCAAGTTGATCTGATTAGACCTGCTTAGGGCAGTACACTGGACTAGTTGATGCCTGGAGGTCACTTCAAAAAAAAATTTTTTCCTGTAATTCTATAAGTTACTAGGGTTGTGATTTCTATTTTTATTTGTAAATGTGAACTAGGGACATAAAAAAGTGTTTGACTTCATTTACGTTATAGATTTACTCTTAACAGGTAAACCTCTTCATTGAAAATGTTATATTTTTAAACAAACTTGAACTCTCTGTAACATTCTGTTTTCTTTGTTTCCTTCCTTAAATGTACTGCATTTCTGTTATCTGACTTCAGTATTATACTGACTCAGAGCACAAATTCTGTAAAGAATTTCCTTGAAGGGAGACTTAACATGATGATCTTTAACCTTCTAGATTTGGAGACTTGTATGTGGGAGAACAATATGTCTTGATCTGAAAGACACATTCAGCAGCAGTCTGCTCATTTACAACTTCAGAATATTTGAGAGAAGATACGGCAGCAGAAAATTTTCAGTAAGTTCCAGTTACTTTTTTTTTTTAACAAACTGTTTTCTACGCTGTTTAGAATCTTGTAGTCTTGGATGAATATTGCAGTTTTATTACTAATATTTTTGTACAGAAATACATGTTAAAGGGTTTTGAAGATAATTTGGTTTCCACAAATCTAAATTTATATTGATAATATCTTTCAGTCAGTGGATTATTCTAATTAAAGTTTGCAGCTATATCAGTTGAAAGTTATCAGACCCATAGAATTTCATTGTAGTAACAAACCTAACTCTTCATTCTTCAGTATCTAGACATGTAGATCTGGAATTATGTTATGCTACATATTCTGTTTGTTTTAATTGAATTAGTATAGTGGTTTTCTTATTTTTTATTTAGAGATACATTAAGACCTTATTTTTAAACTGTTGAATTAATCGAAATTAATCTTATTCTTTCCAGTCGTTTTTATTTGGTGCTTGGATGCTTTCAGCTTTGTTTGATCTTCTCCTTGTAGAAATCACTCAGTATATATTTGGCATCACCATCAACAGCTTGCCTTCTGGTTTGTAAGTAGCTCCTAATAGATTTGTTATTTTTTATATCATTTCAATGGATTGTTTTGTGCAGATTTTAATTTTAAAAAACTTTATTCATGTAACCCTTCAGATTAAATTTGATCCTCCTTTGAACTACAGTGTAAAAATTATTGGTATAACTATTATATTTTCAAACATTAATTTCCTAGTTGTGATCTATGGTTAATTAATTTATAATTTATCCATATAATGATTCCTTTCCATTCTGTTAGTCCCTTTTCCACTGTCAGCATGACTGAAACATGACTTGCTGTGCACAAATTATTGCCGTATTTGGTTTTGTTCAATTCAATAAACCTGAAAACTGAGTTCAGGTTGGTGCTGATTTCTTTCTTAAATCACAAAAATAGTGTAACTGTAGTTTGTATCTTTATGCTCTCTTTTAAATGCATGTGCCGTTACATGCATTTCATACTGGTATTTCATATGTTTGTGTTTCAGAAATTGAGTGCTAGAGCATGTTACTCCGTTTAGTGCTTGCATCTGAGGTTCTTAAAGATTTAAGGTATTTAGTGGTTTGGTTTCGCATAACCTGTATTTGGGAGTTCTGCACATAATAGGAGTTGTACATGTTACAGTAGAAGAGTAGAGCTTGCAGAGCCTTTGTAGGTAAGCTTCTGACAAGATGAGATCAGCCTCATACAGACTTGAGTTTCCATGTGTCATACTCCCTGAGGTAGTAATAAAGCTCTTGGTGTGAGATTTTTTATATTAAACACCATATTAGGCTTTTTTATTGTGTCTCTTGAAAGTAGCTAAAGGCTGATTTAATAAAGAAGCAGCGGCATGTGTTTGACATTATAGAGATAGATTTTTTTTTTTTTTATAGTGTGTGTTGAGTATTCAAAAGGAGTTCAAAGTTGTACTGCAGTTATTCATTATGTTTGGTCCTTTGAAGGTTGTTGCTGGGACATAGGCTGCTGGTGTGTCTGGACAAATTCAGTATTTTCGTCTGTGTCAAAAGATAGTTTGTGCAAGAGTAGGGTGTAATAAATGCACACATCACACTCCCAGGGAACTAATGAACAGTTTGACTCTCATGCCTTTTAATGGTATTTTAACCTATGACTGCAGAATTTTGTCAGTTATGAAGAAATCTGCGTCAAAGAAATTTTTAGGTGAATAAAATAGAAGTGTTGCCTACGTATGTTTTTTTTAAAGTCATGCTAACATATTGATTTTGAGAGAATAAAACTAATTTTTGGTGTGGGATATACAGTAGTTTCAGGAGCATTTGGCTGTGGAAATATAAAATATTATTGTATACGTTGCATCGTAATTCTTCAGTGTTGTCTGCTTTATTATACTAACAGTCACTTTTTCCACGTCTGGCAATATTCGCAATCTTTTGAGATGACAAAAGCATCGGAAATTTTAACACTGATACTGGGTTTTAATTAATGTCAGGTTTCCAAATTGAGCAAGTATAAAGAGGTGCAATTATTATTCTGCTTTTCTCGTATTTACAGTGCAACAAATCTTACTTCTAGCTACAGAACATTCTTCAATGTAGTAAAAATGCTAGAATTTGGAAAAATAATAACTTGTTTACACTATGAAAGTCCTCAGACATTTTTTCCCTCTTTTTATATCATTTCACTGTTCATATTACTGAGTGATCTTACACTTCCTGTTCGAAAACTTTTTCTGCGCACACTTCGAAGGTAATTGCGATAAAGGATTACACTGATGACTCTCGCCTGAAATTGTTTAGAAACAATATAGTACAGTATAACATCCAAGCATGTACTGAGATTCATGAGAAAGGTGGTAAAGGCTGCCCAGGGATTGTAAGTTATATCTTCATGCTGCAACATCAGGAATGCAAAGCAAATGTGGAAGGGTACAAAGCAGATGAGTACTTGAGCAATCAGAGTAACTATAATTTTTATGGATCTTTCCTTGGCCTTAGGCTTCAGTTTGGAAGTCTTGCCATGGATAAAATTGTAAATAATGACCAAGTAACACCCCATCATGATAAACAAGGGAATCAAAAAGAAAAAAATCAAGCGAGAAAAGTTCAATGTATTTACTTCCTTTAAATGGATGATATCAAGCATTTTCATGCAGGTGGTGAAATTTGAAGCTTTGTCTGGATCAGTTTGTAAAAAAAGTAATGGGGACGTTGTTGCGAGGGTCATTACCCAGATTCCAGTGCAAGCTAGAACAGCTTTTTTTGTATTTTTTAGTTCTTTGACATGTTTGGGCTGGACAATAGCCATAAATCTGTCCACGCTTATAAAAGTGAGCAACCACAGAGCAATGGCTGGATAAAATATGGTGAAAGCACCAGTAATCCGACAGAATGTATCTCCGAAAGGCCATGTTTCTTTCCCATAGTAAATTATCCGAAAAGGCAAGGAAAATATAAAAATTATGTCAAGTAATGCCACATTCATCATATATACAGTTATAGTTGTTCTCTTCTTTGTAGTACAGCTGAAAACCCATAGTGCAGTGGCGTTCACCAGCAATCCCACTGTGAATACAAAACTGTAGAAGACCAGTGATGCAATCCTGTATTCTTCAGGGTGCTGATTTACAGGCATCATATTTTAAAGTAATTTATGGATAGTTGTTGCACTCCATAAATACCCTAAAAGATAGATAAAATATGAAAAGTTATGCTCAGTCCAATAAAAACTTCTTTTAAAAACAAACAAGAAAATTGTTGTAGGATGGGGTTTAGTGGCGAGACTGTATTGTTTAGCTGTGGCAATGTGTTAGCTTTGTTGCTTTTTCGGACTTCAGATACGTTATTGTGCTCTGAAGGAAGTACCTGTACTGTCAGACTTGTGAGAAAAAGTATTTATAAGCTAGTTTTAATTAAATATTTTTAATTACTTAAGAGATTTCTTCTATAAGGAATCAAGAATTCAAGACTGACCAGCTACTTTGAGTGTGCTTCAGTAGCTGATAATTAGATTGAAACAGCTGTAACTGAGGTAGGAGAGCTATTTTGGTGGATGAAAAGCTGGACATGAGCTGATAATGTGCACTTGCAGCTCAGAAAGCCAACTGGATCCTGGGCTGTATCAAAAGAAGTGTGACCAGCAGGTTGAGGGAAGTAATTCTCCCCCTCTACTCTGCTCTCGCAAGACCCCACCTGGAGTACTGCATCCAGCTATGGAGTCCTCAGCATAGGAAAGACATGGACCTGTTGGAGTGAGTCCAAAGGAGGGCCACAAAAATGAACAGAGGACTGGAGCATCTCCCATATGAGGACAGGCTGAGAGAGTTGGGGTTCCTCAGCATGGAGAAGAGAAGGCTCTGGGGAGACCTTATAGCAGCCTTCCAGTCCTTAAAGGGGGCTTGGAAGACAGATGGGGACAGAGGTAATGGTTTTAAACTACAAGAAGGTAGATTTAGACCAGATATAAGGAAGAATTTTTTTAGGATGAGGGTGGTGAAATGTTGAAACAGGTTGCCCAGAGAGGTGGTAGATGCCCCATCCCTGGAAACATTCAAGGTCAGGTTGGACTGGGCTCTGAGCAACCTGATATAGTTGAAGGTGTCCGTGCTCATTGCAGGGGGTTTGGACTAGAGGACCTTTAAATGTTCCTTCCAACCCAAACTATTCTATGATTTTTCTAAAGAAAATATTTTTTCAAGTTGTCCCTGTTGACAGGGGATTAAAACTAGTTATGAAAAGAAATAAGTGAGCATAGCATATAATGACATTTGGATATGCATAGTCAAGTACTGACTTTGTTTTATTGTTTGTATAGGAACTATTTAGCTCTCAAAAGAGAGCTTGTGCAAAGAGTATTTTTGGGGAGAAAATTTGCTGGCTGGTAGCCAGCTGCTCCAGAGCACAGTTGTGTTGCTTCTCTCAGCTTTTTGGTCATAGAAGTTGGACACCTGAAATGTCATTATGCAGACTCAGGTGATGAGAGCTGAAAGAGATTATCCCCTGGTTTACTCTGGAGCCATTTGAGGATGACAGACCTTACCTGGTGTTTGCATGGCTGCTTTGGTTAACCCACACCCTCTCCGCTTTCCCGGCTCTTGCTGTCATCACAGTTTCATTTCTTTGCATGGGAGGGTACCTCTTGCTTGGCCTTTCACCCAGCCGTGTGGCAGCTTTGTGAAGAGGAGGAGGAGGAGGAAAGAATTAGTTGTTTGTCTGATCTTCCTGCTTGTGGAAGACAGCCAAGTGAGTTCTATAGATCAGTTAGGCACCAAAACTGTTCTAAAGAGCAGGAGAATACGCAGTTCCTGGGTGTTTTTATCTCCAAAAGTGGAGAATGCATTAAAAAAAAAAAAAAAAAAAAAGCTTATTGCTGCTGCTTGTCTGGTTTATGCTTTCACTGTATATTACTAGGTACTTTTTTCAGTGGAATAGGAATACACAGTGGATTGGACCAGTGTTTGTTAATGTGTTAATGTAGCATCCTGGTTCAATACTGGCAAAATATCAGCTGCTTTTGAGAAGAGTATCTGTGGAGTAACTAAATTAAATATGACCTATTAAATCTTTTTTCACGTTAGTTTCTGCCTTGAAATATGAAGTCTGGACTTCTGATTTTCTTACACTTCTCCAGACTTCTCCAGTTTACAGATATTAAAAAAGAATGCATACAAATATCTGGCCCTAAACTTTTGACTCAAGTATTTTTTTTTTTAGCTGTACAAAACAAAAAGGTATGTTTTCTGATCAGATGAGGTCATTAAAACATGTAGCAGAATTTATGTTTTGTATGTTTATGTATTGTATGGGAAAAGCTGTGCGTATAATACTGACAAAAAAGAGGTTTGGAGGGCATCTGAATGAATGCCTCTAAAATTCCTCATTGTGTGAAGAACACTGAAAATTAAAAAATTAAAGAGTAATAGCCGACCTCATTGAAAGGTAGATGGCATATGCTTGAAGAAAAAATTTTGTAGCACGTGCTTGTAGCATAGTTGAAATGTTATCTGGCATACTGTCCCACTTTCATTACTGTTCCAAAAATTTGTCTAAATATTGCCTAACACACCCTCCTGCCTTGCATTTTAAGTGTGTTTTTCTCTCTTCTGTTTTTTTTCTCTCTTACCAGTGGCTGTGTATGACCTAGTGCATGGCTACCAATGTCAAGATTCTGACAGTTTTAGCAGGTGAATGAGTACTAATGTACAGGATAGGTAGAAAAATTCACTTTTTATAGATGAATGTCAATAAACAGT